GGGGTTGGGTCTCCTGGTCTCTGATGATTCCTCTGGGCCCTTCTCAGGGGTCTCAGAGCCCCTGGGCCCTGGGCTGTCCTGGTCTGAAGGCACTGGCTACTGCCAGTCCCAGGTGGCCAGGAGGCCTCAGGACGCATTGGCTCCGCCCCCTCTGGTTGTCCTGTGAGGCTGCAGGCACGTGGGTCTGTATGGGTGTCCAGCAGCCCCTTTTCTATGGCTTCACCTCTTGGTCAGTTCTGCGGGGGAACACGTCACCCACTATAACAGCTGGATTCTCAACCGTTAGGCAGTGTGGTGTGGACTTCAGGGTCATGACTGAAGACGGCGTGTGTGCGCTGGGGGCTCTGTCTCTCAGGCCACCGGCTGGCCTTTGGCAACCTCTGACGTGCCAGAGTGTCAGTGGGGACCTGCATCTCCCTGTCTCACCCCCAATCACTGCCTGTCAGGCTCTGGGGCCGTAGCTGAGAGCCGCCTCCCATGCCTGCTATCTTGTTTGAGAAACCTGAGCGATCAGGCCAGGGGCCTGCTGACAGAAGCCCTTCCACCTGGAGGATGCTGGGGTTGGACTTCTCACCATTTAATTTGAGTGCACAGGAGGAGCTGGGGATGTCTCCTTCCCGTCAGAAGAAGCCCCAGGGCGCATGAGGCCCATCTGCAAGTGGGCTAAGGTCTGTCCTGGGGGAGAAAGAAGGGCCAGACTTGTTCTGCTCAGTCCTGGGGGCAGAGAGGCCTGCTCATCCAGTGACCGGCTCTGTGGTGATGAGCCTGGCCAGAGCAGGCCGTGACTGGACCTGGATCCCACACCCTTCCACTGTGGGAGGACCTGGCCACACTTGCAGCCTTCAGGAGACCCCAAGGCCTTCTAGGCTATGGTGGGAGGATGGGCAGTGTAGTAGCCGGTCCACTCTGGATCCAGCCTGGGTGCCGTAGAGATGCGCCGGCGGACTGGGGAGGTGTCTGGGTACCCCAGGCTCCTTGGGGTCAGGGATGGTTTGTCTTTCTGTCCCCAAGGCTTGGCATCGTGCCTGGCACATATGATTGGATTGAATTAGAGTTGATGCCAAGAGGTTTCCTAACAATGAAAGCTGTCCCAGTGTGGCGAGGGCTGTCTCTGAAGGGGATGCCACTTCCCTTCCCCTTCCCCCCTCCCAGGAGGCCTTCATGCAGATGCTGGGGAGATCTGGCCGGGGCAGGGGTCCAGCTTTGGGATCCAGGAGTCAGATATGTCTTCATTATGCCAGCAACAGAAACCACAGAGAGGATAGGGGTTGGACGAGGGGTCATGTCCTGCCTGGCCTGGGAGGTGAGAACTGGAGGTCAACACCATGATTTTACAAAAGAGGAAATGAGGCGCATAGCAGAATAGGGGATTGTGGAGCATGGGAAGTGACAAAGCAGAGCTCCCTGAACCATACGATGGCAGGTTTGGAACTGTCACTGGGGCCTGGCCCCTCTTTTGACACCCAAGGCCTTTTTCTTTCGAAGGTGGCATTAGCAGCTGGAAAGTAAGGAGGGGACTCATGTAGGAAGTGATCTTTCTTCTGAGCTTTGCAGAAAGACGGGGATTCTTAGAGGCAGTGGTGAAGACGAGCTGTGCTCCAGGCCTGGGGAATGTCTGGGCGGAGGCTTGGAGTGGGAGATGGGGTGTCTGTCACGGGGGGCATGCTGCCAGGCTCTCCAGGGAATGTGGGAGAGCCTGGACAGGGAGGTTGGGGCCAGATCTTGAAAGGTGTTTGTGATGGGCTCGAGGTAATAGAGAGTCCATGGGGCTTCCTGAGAAGGGAAGGGCCCTGCTCCTAGTGTCACTCTGGCTACTGAGCAGGGGGGTGGGTGGGCAAGGGGGAGAGGCCTGAGGCGGGAGACCAGGGAGGAGGCCCCGGAAGAGGAGAGAAGAGGAAGGCCATGAGAGCTCTTGTCCAGCTGAGAGCCAGGTGCGGCCAGAGCTCAAATTGTAGGCAGGGCAGGCTCTTGTCGTGTTTCCTGCTGGTCCCCCTGCCCGGAGCAGCCCCCTTCCTCCCTGCTCACAGCTGGGCTCCTCTCTGCACTCGGCAGGGCCAGCCCCAGTTTCCTGGAGGGCCTGGACAACATGCCTGAGTTCACACTCAGGTGCCAGAGGGTCCCCTTCTCCCCAACATCCTCCCTCCTTGTCCTGCCTCACCCCCAACTCCCCTAGCTTGGCACCAGCCGGGCAGAGGTCACCAGAGGTAGCTTTCCTTCTTGTCGGCTCCTAGCTGGCATCACGGATCTGCCCCTTGCTGTGGCTGGCCAGGCTGGAGGGGGCAGGGCCAGGGCAGGAGGTGTGCCTCACCCCCATCCTGCACCAGGCCTCACACGGGCGGTGGTCCTGGCCCCTTTCTGCCCATTCCTCCCAACGCTGAAAAGTCTCTAAAGGACGGGGTCACTCAATCACTCGTGGGGAGTCCCGAATCTTCCCCTAGGAAACAAGTCTAAATCTTACAGACATAGTGGGGCATATGGGAGAGGAGGTTTGCCAGGCACCAAGGCATGGCGGGCATCCTGAGACAGCAAGTGAGGATCGGGGCTGGGGAGTGAGGGGGTGCAGGGAGTCATTCGCAGGCCGGTGCCCCCTCCCCCTTGTTTAGCCTCCCCTCTGGTTCCCAGAGCCCCACCAGAAATAGTGAAGCTATGAGGTCATCACAGGCAGGGGAAGTAGAAGGGGCGGGAGGAAGGGGGCTGGAATGAGCCCCATGGAGTGGGGGAGGCCCAGCAGGGGCCCAGCATTTCTGGGGACCCAGATGTGAGCGCTCCAGGAGGAGCCCAGGCCTCTGGCTGAGGCCAGGAGCAGCTATTACCTTTCCCAGCCTGGTGACCCAGGCCCTGGACCTGGAGGGATGGGAGTGGGGGAGGAGGGCTTGGCTGGGGTCCTTCCCGAGGGATGGATGACTTCATCTTTAAAAAAGAGGAGAGGAAAGAAAGAACACACCTTGGATCGGGGCCAGCCCCAAAGACAACTGTTGTCATGGAAACAAGGGGAAAACAGTCAAGGGGGGGAGGCATTCCTTCGGGTGTGGCCCAAAGCACATGTGCAGATATGTGTGTGAACCCCCAGTGCGGTGAATCTGCACATGCATGCCTTCACGGGTGCCTGTGTGTGTGTCGGCCTCGAAGGGGCAGCCAGGCCGTAGGAGGGAGGAGTAGGGGGCCCCAGGAGTCCCCCTCCTCTGCCCCAGCAGGGGCATGCTCCAGGGGAATCTGCGGGGGCCTGGCTGGGGAGAGGGCGACTCACTGGCAGGACACGGGGCAGGGCAGGGAGGTGAAGGGGGATGGGAAGCAGTTCAGGCCTTCCCTCTCTCTGTATCCTGCGGCTCCTCACGGGGAGCTCACTACCTGTCGGGACATCTATGCTCCGCTGGCCTCTCTGCCCCTTCTACCCATTATTCCTGCTTCAGCCCCAAGGGGAACAAGCCTGATCACTGTTCAGGCCTGCTGTTCCCCACCCGCAGAGTGGTGGGGATGATTCCCGCCCTTTGCTATAAGGCAGAACTCGAATGTTGGATGTGAGACTCTAGAATGTACAAAGGGCTCTGGAGGCAGACAGTGTTGATGTTAGTGCCTGCCTGCTTCTGTGGCTGAGCCTCAGTTTCCCCATTTGCCAGAAGCCTACGACTGGCCAGAGGGCATACAGCAGGGTGGGGAGGGAGGCTGAAGGAGGGGCAGAGAGCAGGGTGGGGAAGGGGATGGGGGCATAGAGAACAGGGTAGGGGGACAGAGCAGGGTGGGGAGGGAGGCTAGAGGGGGGGGGCAGAGAGCAGGGTAGGAGGACAGCAGGGTGGGGAGGGAGGCTGAAAGGGGTGCAGAGAGCAGTTGGGGAGAGGGATGGGGTCAGAGAGCAGAGTGGGGAAGGGGATGGGGGCACAGAGAACAAGGTAGGGGGACAGAGCAGGGTGGGGAGGGAGGCTGGAGGAGGGGCAGAGAGCAGGTGGGGAGGGAGGCTGGAGGGCCGGCAGAGAGCAGAGTAGGGGGACAGCAGGGTGGGGAGGGGGACTGGAGGGGGGAGCAGAGTGTCTATGGGGGCCACTCTCCTCTGCCTCCTCTGGCAGCTGCTGGGCCAGGTGACCCAGGACATTGGCTGGCTCTTCTGGCCTAGGAAGGAGGACAGAGCCCCTAGGCCTGGGGGCAGGAGGAGATTTCTGTTACCAGAGGCCAGGCCAGGGAATGTGGCTTTATTTTGTGCAGACTGGGAGCCTGGTTGCTTTGGTAGGCTGCTTCAGGGAGGGGTGGGTGTTGCTGCTGCATCTGGCTGAGGTTTTTCTGGGGCTCCCCAGGGGCTGCAGTGTTGGGGCCCAGGACCTCAGATGCAAGCCTGAAAAAGGAATGGATGAGTTCCAGAAATCTCTGCCCCTCCCTCTCCCTCCCCCATTTCCCAGGCCTGGTGTGAGGATGTTGCCCGCTCCCCCGGAACCCAGTTTGTTTGGATTTGGACCCCCATGCCTGACCTCTCCTGGCTTCCTCTATCCCTGCCCAGCCCCTTGCAAGGATCTTTGCCCTAGGGAGGATGCCTACCCCCAAAATAGGATGTTCTTAACCTGGCACCCGGGGGAAGGGTTCTGGGCTCTCATGAACTTGTCCACTGACCTTCACTTTCCTGAGCCATCCCACATGTTTGATTGTGTGCCTTCATTCTGAGAAGGGTCCTCAGACTTTCTGCCCCCTGAGGGGGCCAGGACACAGTCAGAGTTCATCCTTCCCATAAGTGGGATCTCAGCATGACCTTGGAGAGGGTGATACCAGGGCCAGGGAGGGGTGTGTATGTGTGTGCATGTGCATGTGTGTCCTGTGGGACAAGCCATCGTCCTCCCTGCACCCCTAGAGAGCATCTGCTCCCAGGATCTCCCCTCACCCTTTTTCCTATAGGCATAGTGAGAGGAGGAGAGCAGCCTGGCAAAGGCAGGCCACTGCCTTCCTCTGGATGCCCCTAGCCTCCTGGCTCCCCAGTTCTCACCCCAGAATCACACCTCCCCATTCTTTTTCCCTCCCAGACTCACCACCCAGTGGAGCGTGGAGGATGAAGAGGAAGCCGCAAGGGAACGCCGCAGGAGGGAGCGGGAGAGACAGCTCCGGTCCCAGAGCGAGGATGGGCCGGGTGGGACCAGCTCCTGCCCCGAGATGGAGCCCGAGCAGCCGGAGCAGGAGAAGCTGTAAGAGCCCCCCATTGCCCCCAGACTTAGTCTGGCAGCAGATGACGCACACTAGCACTACAGTGGTGAGCTCGGGACTGACATTTGTGGTGGTGCTAAGTGACCTGGGCCTGGGCTCAGGAAGCCCCGAGTTCAAATCCGACCTCAGATGCTTCCTAGCTATGTCACCCTGGACAAGTCTGCCTCAGTTTCCCCAACAGCCCCTCCCTCCCAAGTTGTTGTGAGGGCAAAATGAGCTATTTGTAGAGGGCTTAGAATGTCCTAAAAGCTGTGTGGGCAGTGGCCCTCATCCCCATCAACCCCATTATGACATGGTCATGGGACCAGAGGACTTGCAGCTCATGTCCTATCTCTGACACAGACCAGCTGTGTGACCCTGGACAAGTCACTTAACCCCTTTGGGACATAGTTTCCTTGTCTGTAAAATGAGGGGACTGGCCTTGGTGACCACTAAGGGCCCTTATTTCACCGAGGAGGAAATTACCCAGAGAGGGAAAGTCGGGCAGCTAGGTGGCGCAGCGGATAGAACACCAGCCCTGGCATCAGGAGGACCTGAGTTCAAACCCGGTCTCAGACCAGACACTTGACTTTACTAGCTGTGTGACCCTGGGCAAGTCACTTAACCCCAATTGCCTTGCCAAAAAATAATAATAATAATAATAACCAGAGAGGAAAAGTCACAATAACTCCCCAGGTCACACTGGTCCTCTGACTGACTGCAAATTAGCATCCGCCCTGCGCTGACTCTGCTACTGACACTTTCACACACACACACACACACACACACCCCACACACCCATGCACACACACCACACACACGCACACACCCCACACAGACACACCACACAGACATACACCACACACACATGCGCATACACCCCACACATACACACAAAGACATACAAGTGTGAGAATTTGGAAAGACTCTCTGTTATTCGGGGAGAAGAATTTATATTTGTTTGCCCTTGGAGGCTTGTGAAGCGCTTTGCAAATACGATGTCACTTGATCCTCACAACCCCCTCCCCATCATTGATGGGTGCTGTTATTACCCCCATTTTACAGATGAGGACACTGAGGCAGGGAGCCAGGATGTGACTTCCCCCAGAGTCACACACCTCCCAGGTGTCAGAGGCTGGATCTGAACTCGGCTTTTCCTCACTGGTGTAGTGCTCTTTCCTGTCTCCCCCGCCCTGCCCGCTGCTGCCTCTGTCTCCCGTGTGGAGGGTGGGGCTGGAGCCGGGGCCCTGAATGATCTAGAATTCCCAGGAGCTTTCTTCTGACACCGGGGAAGAGCCCTGCAGGTTACCTGGTGTATGTGAGGCACAGATAGTGGGTCTTCCCTGCAGGAGTCTGAGGTTTTAGCCCAAAGGAATGGACAGTGAGGAGAGCAGTTTTTCTGGCATCCTCTTCCTGGGGCCAGACCACAGGGTTGAGGTTTTAGACTGGGGGACTGGTGGGTTTGGCCTCTGAGGCCTGGGCTCACCTAGCTTGGCCATTTAGCACGTGACCGAGGGCACCTCCAGCCTCAGTTTCCTCATTGGTCAGATAGGGTCCTGCCCATGGGGCTCTCGGCACTTTGCGAGTCAAGCAGTGATTTTTGTATCTGCTTGGTGGGCGGAGAGCCAGACGTGCCATGAGGAAAGGCCAGCTCTGTGTGAGCCGACCACCGCTCCCTCTTCTAGGGGGCTGCCACCGATCTGGGGGAATTGTCTGAGCTTAGGCAGGAGCTGGCTGTGAGAGGCCAGACAGGTTCTGAAGCCCTGAGGGGCAGCTGGGGGGCGGGGCAGATGCCTCTCAGTCTGCCAAGCCCTCCCCCCCACCACCCCGTCCCCTGCAGGTGCTGATTTTTGTAGTGCAGGGTCTCAGCATCTCCCAGGTTCACACCCACGCCCCTGCCCATGTCCTGAACCCCTGAGCCTGCCAAAGCCCAGATCTTCCTCTTCACGCTAGGTGGGTGGGGTCCCTGGAAACAGGCCTGTGGTGCCCGGGAGGCCAGTTGTTTTTAAATCATCTCCCTTTTTTCCATTCCCTCCCTCTGTTTTCCCCCGTTTTCCAACCCGGCTGTGATAACTAAGCCAGAGGGTTAGGCTGGGCTCCTGCCGGCTTTCCTGTGCCTAGCTCCCCTGCCCCGCCCCAGGGCTGCTGGGCTGGCGGCCCACACACTTATCCCTCATCTCCCTTTGCCAACCTCAGCCCCCAATCCCAGATGGCAGATGAATTATCTGGAGCAGTCCCCTCCAGCGCACACACACACACACACACACACACACACACACACACACACGCGCACACGTATACCCCCACCCACAGATACCACAGGCATACACACATACCATGCATGTGTGCACCTCCCCACATACCACACATGCAAGTGTGTACACACGCCACATGCGCGTGCATACAACACACACATGCATGTGTGCACACCCCCAACACTTCTCAGACATGTGACCCTGCGGCAAGAAGGGAGTGACCCTTGTCTCTCGGCCTCAATTTCCTCATCTGTAAAATGGTGCTCCACTCCCATGTCTGTCACCCAAAGCCTTTTATGACCCGGCTTCAACCACCATTCCAGCTTTATTGTACCTTCACCCACTTCCTGTGCTCTGTCCAACCAGGCAGGTTTCCTTACTGCTCCTCTCACACACATATGACTTTCCCTCTCCCGCCTCCATGGCTTTGCATTGTCTGTGCCCTCCTCCTGGACTGCCCTCCCTCCTCAGAACACCTCTGAGAATCCCTGGTTCCCTATGTGATTTAGCTGAAGTGCCCGGGTGGCACCTCAGCCAGTTAGAACTAGAGCCACGCCTCACTCCCTGCCTGGCCTGGGCACTCCTGTACCCTGTGTCCTCTACTCCCTTCTACCCCCCACCCCACCCCCCCCGAGGTCTTCAAGTGAAGGCCGAGAGGCCTCGGGAGATTCTCAGTCAGCTCCATGGTGGATGGACTGGGCCCCTGGCACCCAGACTGGGGGGAGATGGGGTGCCGTCGGAAGGATGGCCCGTCTGCCTCGCCTGGGGTGCCCGCTTGCCATCTCTCCCTTCTCTCGTCATCCTCAGCCTTGCCCTGAAGCCCATGGAGCTGGAGGAGGATGAGGGCTTCAGCGACTGGTCCCAGAAGATGGAGCAGAGGAAGCAGAGATGGGGTCCAGATGGGAGCCTGGACGGCGGAGAGACCTCGCAAGAAGAAAGCCCAGAGTATGAGGACCGAGCTGAGGGGTGAGCATTCTTCAGGCCCCTTCCGGCTCCCGGGTCTGCTCCAAGCCTGAGCCACAGTGGGTCAAGAGGGACATCGAGCCAGGCAGGGGAGGGCATCGCCCCGAGGAAAGCGCAGACAGCTGGACCCTGGTCATCTTCCCGGGTCTTTGCCAGCTCCTTGTGCCACCATGGTGGTGTTTGAGTCCAGTGGGGGGGAGGGGAGGTAAGAAGGGGAAAGGGAGGCTAAGAAGGGGAAAGGGAGGCTGAGGTCCTGCCCTGGGGAGCTCCCACTGCAGCCACTGTCAGTGCCCAGGTCGTGGCCTGCGCTGGGGAGGGTGGACCCGGGCACACACACACAATCCTGAACAGGACACAGGCTCGAGGGTTGCTTGTGAGATGCACATGGTCAGGGCTCCTAGAGGTGGCCAGGAACCAGAGAGATCAGTGAGGGCTGGTGGAGGAAGAGAGCAGAAAGTGGGAGCAAGAACGGAGGGAGGGAGAGAGAGAGGGATGGAGGAGGCAGAGAATAATAGGGAAAGAAGGAGAGAATGCAACGGAAAGAAGAGGAGAAGGGGGAGAGGGAGGAAAAGATGAATGAGGGGAAAGGGAGAGGGGGCAAGTAGGGTAGAGGAGGGGGGCAGGGCAAAAGAAGGAGAGGAAATGGGAGCAGCAGAGTTGGGGGCCTTCAAGGCCATGGCCCTGGGGCCACTCCATCTTCACACAGCAGCAGCAGGAGCCAGAAGGCCCCTGGGGGCCCAGGAGCCTCTCCAGAGGTTTCCTGGCTGATTTGATAGGCCCCATGCCCGATGGACTCAAACCACCCCATGTCTATTCCCAGTTTCCTGGCTCCCCGCTGCCTCCCTGGCGGGTGCACTAGTGGTCTGGGCCACAGCACTGAGAGGGCCCGGGATGGGGTGGGGCTGGACCTCCTCCTCCTCCCCCTCTCCTTCCTCCTCCTCCCCCTCTTCTTCCTCCTCCTCCTCCCCCTCTTCTTCCTCCTCCTCCTCCTCCTCCTCCCCCTCTCTCCACAAAGGAAGCATCTTGCAGGAGCCTTTGGGGAAATTTCCCATTGAGGGCCAAGACTGGCTCCCCCCTCACTCTGTTTCTTGGTTGGGGGAGGCTTATGCAGCCTGCTAGACTAGCACCAGTCCTCCGGGGTCTGCTGCTTCCTGCCCTGGCTACTTTCTCCTTCCTCCCAGAGCTCCTGGGCACCCTGCCTCCTCCTCTTCCTTCCTTCTTTCCTCTCTCCCTCCCTTCCTTCCTTCCTTCTTTCCTCTCTCCCTTCCTTTCTTCCTTCTTCACTCCCTTCCTTCCTTCCTTCCTCCTTTCCTCCCTCCCTTCCTTCCTTCCTCCCTCCCTCCTCCCTCCCTCCCTCTCTCCCTTCCTTCCCAGGGCTCTGGGCTCAGAGACTTAATCCCTCCCTCCCTAGCTAAGGCCCTGAAGCCGAGGCAGCCTCTGGCCCCCCAGGAAACACACAGTGCTGGAGGCGAGGAAGCTCCCTTGGGCCGCAGCCCTGTCCACAGCTCTGAGGGTGTGTGAATTTTAGGCAGACGTCAAGCATCAGCCTCAGTTTAGAACTGGAATAATTAGCGCTGGAAGTTCATAGAGTCCCCCGTTCCCTGTGCAGGGGAGGAAGGGAAGACCCAACAGAGGGAAGGCCTCTGGCCAAGGTCCTGGAGGTGGGAAGGTTCAGAGCTGAGATTTGAACCCAGGCCCTCAAGCAGTGGGACAGATTGAACATTGCATTTGTCCAGCTGCGTCAGTCAGGCTGCCTCTTGGCTGTTTAAAGGATGCAATGATCTCAGTTTTGCTGGAGTCTTACTCCTTTTGTGAAACATTTACCAGGCCTTTTAGTTCGGCCTGCTCAGCCCGGCTTATTCTGCTCGTGGGTAAAGTGAGGACACAGGCCTGACTCTTCCCCTTCGCAAGGCCTGGAGCCTCTGAGTCACTCAGACTGGCCCTGTCTGCCTCAGGCCACCCCTTGTCTCAATGTCCGCCTCTGTCCTATCCAGGCGTGGGTGACATCAGGCTCTTGGCATGGTGCGTGTGAACCCTGACTGGTCACAGATGGGGGGACCCCAGGCCATTGACTTTCTGGTGTCTCCCTTGGCAGTATCCCGAGTGGTCATCCAGCCCCATGATGGGAAGATCATCACTTGAGGCTGGGGAGCAGCCCGTGCCCCTTGGTGGCAACTCCTCTGACTTTAAGCCTGACCCTCTCTTTTTTGCTGTCCCCCTGCAGACCCCCCAAGTCCTGCTGTCAGGGCCTCTTTCTGCCTTGGGGGATGGTGCTTTAGGCTGACCTCCTGATGGGGATGCCTGGAGCTAGGGCCTCAGGGGCTGAACTCCAGTGACCCCCACCCACCCTCTTCCTCCTCCCCCAGTCCTCCCTCCCTCAGATTGCCAGGTCTGACCCTCCCCCTTTTAGGCCCCTGAGTACCTGGTTGGCTTCCACTCCTCTGACCTCCCTGGCCATGGACCCTGCCCTTTTCCTTCTTGGCCTCTCTGGTGTTGAGTCGGGTTTCAGGCAGGTCCATGACCCCGTTTGGGCTTTTCTTGGCAGAGATGCTGGCCAGGTTTGCCATTTCCTGCTCACTTGACAGATGAGGAAACTGAAGCAAACAGGGTGAAATGACTTGCCCAGGGTCACACAGCTAGGAAGTGTCTGAATTCAGGGAGAGGAGTCTTCTGGACTCCACGAGTGGTGCTCTATCCATCCTGCCGCCTAGCTGCCCTGGCCTCAGTTTATCCATCTGTAAAATGAGGGAGTGGATGTGTAGTAGCCCGGCAGCTCTGGATTCTGTGATCTCCTTCCCAACAACTCTTTAGGCCTTTAAAGTTGGCGAAGCATTTTCCCTCTAAGGACCTGGAAGTGCCAGCGTGATTGCCCCTACACACAAGTGACTTGTCCAGGGTCATACAGCCTCTAAGTGTGGCAGCTGAGCCTGGTGATTGCTTAGGCTGGAGGGGATTGCTGGGGGCAGGGCAGGGAGCAGCCGCTCATCTGCTGACCCTCCCCCTTCTCTGGGCAGGTCCTCACATCGCTCCTATGAGGAGGAGGAGGAGGAAGAGGACCCTCCCCTGAGCCAAACCCAAGCCAGCCTGAGCCAGCTCTGTGTGGATCCGGTGCCCTGGCCTGAGGAGGCCGCAAGAGACATCCCAGAGGAAGAGACAGGCCTTCTGGAGATGGGAAGCTGCCTGAGGGGGCAGGCAGAGACCGAGGTACAGCAGGGAGCTGAATGGGAGGGAACAGGGGAGGAGGAAGAGCTTGTGTCCTGGCTGGACCCCTACCCCGCGCCTGTAGTCCCCGTCCTGGCGCGGGCGCTCCTGCCCCTCCCCTCCCCCATCCCTCCACTCTTCCTGTGTTTGCTGCTGTTTCTAGCTCCGTACCTAGGGTGGGGTGATGGACGCTCAGCTCCAGGTGCTCAAGTTCAGAGGGGGCGTGTGGTAGCACTCCACTTCTTCGAGAGAATAGAAAAGAAGGAGCTGAACCAGAGTCACTGGGATGTCCCCAGCACCCACACCCTGGGCGAGCTCCGCCCCCTTCACTTTACAGCTGGTGGAGCAGCCTCAATGTGTCCCCAGGGGGAGTTTCTGCCCAAGGGCTCTGCTCTTCCCCTCGGCTGAACTTGCCTTTCTAGGCCGATATCCAAGCACTTCCCATGCATGCATCTTGTGACGTCTGCCCTGGAGGCAGAAGATGCTAGTTCTGGCCTTCTTGGTCTCCCTTCTGACCTGGCCAGAGGCTTTCAAGTCCCTGGGAATGCTCAGTGGTTGGGCCTGATTCTGGTGACAGCCTGGGGCTATGTAAAGAGCTGGCTATGTCCTTTTCCCCACTTTGTGCCTCAGTTTCCCAGCCTGTTAAATGATAGGGTAGTGTGACAGGTTGTGGAGGCTCCATCCAGCCCCGAGATGCTGCAGTTTCTGACTTCCTTCAGATGGAATTGGTGCCAGAATTGGATAATTGGAGAGCTGGACCAGGGCCCCTCCCTGGCCTGAGGCGCAGCTTCTCCGGGGCAGGGGCTAGGCTGCTGCTGCTGAGCTCCCCACACACCCCACCAGGGCCGATAAAGCTGGGGGGGGAGGGACCACATCTCATCCCTTTCACCGAGGGTCCACAGTATGGGGCACCCTCTTAAGCCCCGGCTAGGGGCTTGTTTTCTGGAGGCCTCTCCCACACCTGGTCTCTCTGCCTCCAGGACAGAAAAGTGTTCCTGAAAGCCGCTCATGTGGAGGAAGAGGAGGAGGAGAGGCAGTCCAAGGCCCCCAGCCCCTCAGGCCTGGAGGCCAGGGAGGAGCAGGACCCGCCGCCCCTCAGCCCCACCACCAAGGTAGGCACTTTCTCCTCCTAGGGACCCAGATGTCAGGTTTTCCAAGACTTCCGCTTCCTGGCCTGGTCTTGTTTGTCTGAAAAGAGAAGTTTACACTGCCCATTTCTGAGCCTCACTTTCCTCATCTGGATAAAGTGTTGGACCTGAGCTCAAATCTGGCCTTATACATTTATTAGATGTATGACCCTGGGCAAGTCACTTTATCTGTGTCTGCCTCAGTTTCCTCAGAATAATAACATGTATATATAATATGCAACGATAATAATGCTATATCCTGTTGGTCTACATGGGGCTGGGAAGTACCCACTCCTGCTGTCCCCACAGGGCTGTTGGGGGGTTGGTTTGCCAGTATGAAGGCTCCCCGGATTTGGGATGGGAGGTACTGCCATTTCTGGAGCAGCCGCTGAGGTTTCTTAGTAGCTATGTCAGGTCAACGAGCATTTATTAAGTGCTTGCTGTATGCCAGGTCCTCTGGGACCTTGGGTGAGTTACTGAGCACATCTGGGCCTCACGCCTGCGGTTGAGCTCTGACCACCTGTGATCTGCGCTTCGGTGACCTCCTGGCCAGGCACACTGGTTCCTGTTTGACCCCAGTCGTTTCCGGATGCCTTCCCCTCCTTCCTTTGATGATGCTGAGCTCTCCTTCGCTGTAACAGTCACAGAGAGGGATTCAGCAAGTCCCTCCAGGCTTCTTTTCTTACTCTAGCCTGTGTTTTTCTTTGGCGAGGCGATTGAGGTGAAGTGACTTGCCCAGGGTCACACGACTAGCAAGCATCAAGAGTCTGAGCTGGATTTGAACTCAGGTCCTCCAGGGCCAGTTCTCTAATCACAGTGCCTCTCAGCTGCCCCTTTTTCTTTTTCTTTTTCTGTTTCTGATCACCTCACAACCTTGTCTGGCTTTGGATTGTCACCATCTGCTGCTTGGCAGGTTGGCGTTCTCGTTTTCAAACACGATGCATCCTTCGAGGTTGAGGATTTGTCAGGTGGGAGGGGCCGCAGCCTGTGGTGCGCCACGCTGGGCCTGGCCGACTTCCCGCCAGAGCGCCTTCTTGTTTTCCCAGCGGGCTTCTTGAGGATTTCCTCTTTACTTCCTTCCTAACTTACTCCTGTTAGTTGGAGCCCTGCATGTGTCGCACTCAGAGCCTCTGCCCCCATTGGCTTCCCGGTCTTCCACGCCTGCCCTTTAAGAGGAACGACCCGGAGGATTTGCGGAGCTCTGTCTGATCGGGCAGAGCACCTCACAGCAGCTGGAGGAGGCACTGCAGGAGTTATTGATTGGGGGGGGGGTCTCCTCTCGGGTCCAGGCTGGTAGAGGTGACTCCTTCTGCCGATACAGATCGGCAGCGTTTACGTTATTTAGTCCTGGAGGTGCCTGGGGCACTGGGACTGACCCAGGGGCTGTTGGCCAGGGTGCTGCAGAAGTGGGATGTCATTCCAGGTCTTCCTGACTTATACCTCAGGTCACACAACTCGTAAGTGTCAAGGGATGGGGTCTGATGCCAAGGTGTGGCGCTATCCACTAGGCTGCCCTACCTCGGCGGGCAGGAGAGCTTTGCTTTGAGAAAACCTAACCATGTTGAGGATGGGGGTGAAAGGATGAGGAGGGGGTGGCACCCTGTGATTCCCTCTATAGGACAATTCACTGCCAGGCTTTAATCGATCAGACAACACTCACTGAATGCTTAGTATGTACCAGGCCCTGTGCTGACAGCCGAGAACCCAAAAGAACACAAAAATATGGCCCCTGCCCCTGAGGAGCTCACACGTGAGGGAGACGATATGCAGATGTCCCATCCACACGCATACACGCCATACATGTACACACACACGTGCGTGTGAGAGGATGAGGGCCTTGCCGGAGTAGGGGCAGGGGCAGAGGAGAGAAGGTGTAGATGCTGCAGAGGCAGAAGCAAAGGGTAAGCAACTGATTGAATCCTCATACTAGGCAGCAATTTAAGGATTGTAAGATGCTTTACCAAAATCGTTTCATTTGGCCCACACCACACAACAGTCTTGAGAGGGTGGTACTGTTATTGTCCCCATTTTACAGATGAGGAAACTGAGGGAGACAGGTGAAGTGACCTACCCAGGGTCACCCCACCAGCTGCTGGCTGAGGCTGGGCTTGGGGTGCAGATTCCCAGTCCTGGGCTCTTTCTACCAGCCGCTTCTGTGGGATGAGGTGGTGAGGGGGTGGGGCCGAGCTTTGGAGGGTCAGGTAGTAAGCTCTGTCTTAGACAAGTTGAGTTTTAGCTTTGCCCGGACATCCGACTGAAGATATCCAATGGGCAGGCGGTGATGGGGGCTGGCCCCTGGGAAGAGGAGGCCTGGACCTCAGCTGAGAGTCTTCTCTAGAGATGGGCACTGGGGAAGATGCTTCTGTGTGCTGGGGCCCCACTGAGACTGGAGGTGTGAGTGGGGAGCACAGCACACGAGGTTTAATGCCCCCTGGCCTTTCGCTCAGCCCTGACGTTAGCTACCTAGGAAACCGTACATCGCTTCCCTGCTTCAGGCCTCAGTTTCCCCAGCAGGAAAATGAGGCCACTATCCTAGGTGACCATGTCTTCTAGCTTGTAAGAGCCTTGCAGGCGTCAGTGTGGGCACAGGGCCTGGGGGGAGGTTGGGGGGTGGGGGAAGGGTCTACCTCCCTCCCTCCTATGGCCTTGACACTGACCTCTGCCCCTCCTCCTTTCTAACTTCCTCCCCCTTCCAGCTCATCGACAGGACTGAGTCCCTGAACCGGTCCATAAAGAAGAGGTAACCTTGCCCTGGGGTGTCTCCAGGGGGCATGCCTGGGGAGTTGGGCTACTTTGGGGGAGCTCAGATCTCCTTGGGACTATCGGGGCCTGAGAAAGGGGACCGAGTCCTAGCTGGCCTCTTCTCTGAGTTTCTCGACCTTGTCCCCTAGTAACAGCGTGAAGAAGTCACAGCCTGCCCTGCCTGTGTCCAAGATTGATGACCGCCTGGAGCAGTACACTCAGGCCATTGAAGTAAGGGCCCTCTCCGGCCCCAATACACGCCCTGCCCGTGTCCGCTCACTGCCCATCTGGAGGTTGCAGTGAAATTGGGGGATCCAAGATGGTGGGGAGGGCTTAGGCCTCTTTAGGGATCCAGTTACCCCGAAGGGCAGAGGCAGCCACCAGGATGGGCAGGGACCTTGGGTTCACACCGTCTGGGCATTGGCTAAAGAGAACTAGGGGTGGTTAAAAAGGGGCAGCCCCAGTGCAGAGAACTAGGGGTCCCGGGAGCCAGGGGACAAAGAAGCCAATTGTGGCTGGAGATCAGGGCAGCCTGCCTGTCAGTGAGAGCTGCCCAGAGGGAGAGGGCTCGTCCCACTGGGGATCTTCAAGTTGGGGGGCCGGGCAACCCTCTCTGGGCATGTTAGAAATGGCATTGGGCTCCTTGGGTTAGCCACGCCCCGCTCAGAGATGCTGCGCCTCTGAATAGATCTCAGTGTTTGAGCAGGCCCTGGCTGGGAAGCCTTGTCCGAGCTTCGGGTAGAACAATGCTGTAACTGAGATGCTCATGGGGACAGCAGCCACCCCCTCCACCCCACCCTACACCTCCTGAGCCCCCACGAGGGGGAAGCCTGTGGGGGAGGGGTGTGTGTGGAGGGGAAGCCTGCCCCCCCCTGACAAGGTCACACGAGCATAGACCTCGAGCCAGAAGTGAGAGGGTCACAGGGAGAGCCAGACAGGCCCTCCAAGGCTGCCCACCCAGAGGCTCACAGAGGTGGGGGTATTGAGCCCAGGGTCAGGCCCCTCACCTTCTTAGACCCCACTTCTGATGCTGGTGACCTCTCCTCAGCCTCCCTGCTGGAGTCTCCCTCAGGTGCAGTTTAGATGCCCCTCTGCCCACGTCCCTCCCCTTGTCCTCTGTTGATGAGCTCAGCGTTGGACTCTGCTGAGACTGTGTGCATGCGTGCATGTGCATGCCTGTGTGTGTGCACGTGCCTACATGTGTGTGCATATGTGCGCATGCATGCCTGTGTGCATGTACCTGTGTGTGCGTGTGCACATGTGTGTGTGTGTGTGTGTGTGTGTGTGTGTGTGTGTGTGTGTGCGCGCACATGCGTGCCGGCTGCTTCCATCTGCATCTGCCCTACAGACCGCTGGCAAGACCCCGAAGCTGAGCCGGCAGCCATCTGTGGAGATGCCCGCCATGACCGTGGCTAGCTCCAAAAACCTGTGGGAGACTGGAGAGTTTTTGGCTCAGTCTTCAGCCAAGACCCCTCCGTGCAAGGTAAGCACCTCCTCCCCTCCTTCCCCAGCTGTGAGCAGGGAGGTTCCTTCAGCAAGTGGAAGGGAAAGCTCACGGGTGCTGGCTCCTGCCCTCTCAGACCTCCCACACCAGAACATGTCCCCTCTATGGGACAATCGCTTTAGAAGGAGGCACCCTCAGGGTGGCGGCCTCAGGGAGGGCTTCCTGGAGGAAGGGGCAGCGTTAAGGTCAGCTTTAAAAGCTGGATAAGAATTCAGTGGGCACGGCCTGAGCAGGGGCACAGGCACGGGCAGAGGACAGCTCTGAGTTCTGGGACGTCATCCAAACACCCTCCCGCAGGCAGAGTTGTTTACCAAGGCCAGAGTGAAGTATGCTTGGGAGTAAGAAGAAAGCTTGGGTGGCACCTGACTGTGGAGAGCCTTGAATGTCGGGCACAGGCATCTGATAGACAGTAGGGAGCTACAGAGGGTTCTGGAGCAGAATGATGCTGAAACTTGTTCAAAGGCTGGGAGTGGGGGGAGGCGGGAGGGGGCTCCACTCAGCTCTCTCATCCTTCCAGGATATTGTGGCCGGAGACATGAGCAAGAGGAGTTTCTGGGAGCACAAGGGAGGGAGTAAGACGTCATCCACCGTCAAGGTACCACCTTTGGGGGAGGAGTTAGCAGGCTTTAGCCCACCCTGCCCAGAGGCTGCGGCACCCTGAGGACAGGCCATGTTACACAGGCCCATGTGGGTGTGTGAGGGGATGTGCATCTGTGGGGTGTGTGTGTGTGTGTGTGTGTGTGTGTGTGTGTGTGTGTGTCTGTGGTATGTGTGGGGGGGTGGTATGTGTGTGTATGTCTATGGTATGTGTGGTGTGTGTGTCTGTGGTATGTGTGTATCTGTAGGGGGGGGTGTCTGTGGTATGTGTGTGTCTGTGTGCGTGTGTGTGCTGGGGTGGGAGTGGGGACCGCTCAGGCAGCTCTTGGGGTGGCTGCGAGAGGAGGTGGGAGAAGGGGTCTGGCAGGCAGTGCCTTAGTCTCCTCCGAGATGGGTCCTGGCCTGGGCCGTGTGGGGGAGGAGCATGGTGGGAGGCTGGAAGAGGGAGCAGCCATGGGGGAGGGTGGGACAGAAGCAGGGAGAAGCAGAACGCGGGCTGGCTGCTGCTGTGGGCTGAGGCTCGATGATGTCCCAGAAATCTGGAGCGGACCCAGGCGGCCGGCCACTGTCGGGATTTCCCCCCTCTCTGTTCAGTGGCTTGTGAATGGGACGAAGGGGGCTGGTGGTGAGAGAAGCCCGGGTGGGGGAGCTTGACAAGGCCTGACTGGGGAGGGAGAGGGTGAGGCCTGGACTAGGGGTGGAGAGAGTCAGGCTGAGCTGGGGGAGAGGGGAGGGAGACCGGGGCCGGAGGTCTGGAGGGGATGGCCTGGAACTGACTGGAGCTGGGGGCAGGGACTGGCTGAAGGACCAGCTCAGAGGCCCCGGGGAGACGTTGAGAAGCCTGTGCTCAGAAGCAGGCTGTCAGGGGCTGCCCCCAGGAAGCTTCCCTTCTCTCCTGCAGTCAGGTGGGAAAGGCACACAGAGTGTTAGGGCTTTGGGTCCCAGGCCCGAGCATTCCTGTCCCACCCTTGAGCCGAGCACTGCCAGGATCGGACCAGGGCTTTAGGATGATGCAGGGTGGATCAGAGGAGGGAGGTAGGGAGACTGGGTAGGAGGCCACAAATGGTGCCTCTGCTGAAGGGAATGAGAATCCTGAGCAAAAGAGGATGGGGGTAAATGGGGGGAGAGAGAGTAAGCCAGATGTGGGCCCTGGGCTAGTGCGGCAGGGAGAAGTACAAGCTGAACCTAGGATTGAAAGCCTGGGAAGAAGGGGGGCCATGGGCACAAAATGGGGCCAAAGTCATCCCCAGAGCGGCCGAGTGGTGCATGGGGGAAGGTCAAGCAGAGAGCTCAGAGGTGGGAGACGAGGGAGGCTTCTCACTGTGTCACCTTGGCTAAGTCACTGCCCTTGTTTTCCCATCTACGAAATGCTGGGGCCCGATGAGGCCGTCTGTGGTTCTGCCCGTGGACTTGGACTTCTGGGCTCCAGGTTCTTATGGCTTGAACTGAGTTGGAAAAGGAGGGAAGGGAAAGAAATAAGAACTGGGGACTGGACAAGAGAGGGGTGCATGCGGGACTGGTCCCTGACTGCTGCCCTGCCTTCACAGAGCACCCCCTCTGGAAAGCGGTATAAGTTTGTGGCCACCGGGCACGGCAAGTATGAAAAGGTGCTGGTAGATGATGCTCCCTGACCAGTCAGCAGCCCGCTGTTCCTCCGGTGAGTACCCGGGGCAGGGCTGGAGGCCGTGGCACAGGGAGGCTGAGGCACATGGGGAGGCTGAGGCACGGGGAGAGGCCAGTCAGTGGGGGCTGCTCACTGGCCCTTTGTTCAGAAGCCAGGAGGGCTCTGGCAGGGTCCAGTTCCCAGCAATTGATGATCCAGATGTCAGGGCAGCAGAGATGATCCAGTGGTCAGGGACCCCCAGGCAGGCAGGACTAGTGGAAGGTTGGCAGACCCTGCTGGCTATACAGGCCTCCATGGGGAGGTGGGAAAAGCCCGGCGATCCTCAGGATTGCCTCAGAGGGGTGATGCGACCCCAACGTCCCAAGGGACGCCCATTTTGTCCTGAGGGACGTCAAAGGAGGAGGTACTGTTTGAATTGGCCCCTCGAGGAGGGGCCTGCAGGAGTCCTGCCTTCCAGGAGGAGGGAGCCTGGCCATGTCAGGCACACAAACATGGAGGGAAAAGGGCAGGGATGGCAAGCAATGGCTCTTAGGGCAGGGAGACCGTCCCTTGGCTGGGGCAGGGGAGAAGGCAGAGAGGGCTGTGAATGCCAAGCCAAGGAGTAGGAACGTGGCTCAGTGAGTGATAGCAAGCCACTGAAGACTGTGGTGTGGGCAAGGGGGTATGGAGATGAGGGCATGAGGGGCAGTGGGGAGAGGCAGACCTGGGCAATCTTGGCAGTGGGGGTGCCAGGATGGAGTGGGGTGGGGGGAGGGCAGGAGGAGGGAAGAGGGCAGCGTGGCACCAAGTTTCTCAGATGTGCAGGTGGGACGCATCACACCCCCAGGGCCCTGCCCAGGCCCCTGCAACGGCATCATCCCCACAATTTGGGAGGCGCCTTCCCCCAGTAGTCTCTTGCTCTCCTTTCTCAAACTTTGACCCCGATTCTGGGGGGCTTCCCTCATTGTCCAGTTCAGATCTCTGGCCCCAGACCTCAAGCAGTGGTGGGAGGCTTTGCCCCCCATGAAACGTGTGCAGAATCCCAGCACCGGCCAGGTGATGACCTGGGGGCCTGGCACACTCACGTGTGCTCACACACACGCGCGCGCACACATGTACCCCCCCACATACACGCTTACGTGCACACTCACACATTCACACGTGCACGCACACCACACACACACACACACACACACACACACACACACACACACTGCAGTGTGAGAAGAAGCTAACTCTGCTTAGCCATACACATTTATTCCCAGTCCTCGCCTCCCTTCGCCCCAGGCCAGGCCCGTTTGCTGGCCCTGCACCTCTTTTCCCACCCCCGCCCTCCCCAGCCCCAAGCCTCAGTCGTCACAGGGCAGGGGCTTTCACAGCCTCCCAGCCTCCCTGGCCGAGCCCACACATCCTTCCTTGCCCCCTTTGGGCTCCTGGTCTGATGCCAGAAGCAGGAGTCTGGGTTTTCCCTTGCTGTGTGACCCTGTCTGTGTCCCTGTCTCTTCCTGCCACCCCTAGCCTCAGCTTAGTCCTGGAATCCCTCCTGGATCTCCAATAATGTGCCTGTGAACCCTGGGGGCCTGAGGGCCATTCCCCACACCCCACCCCTGCCCAAGAGGCAATTGGGGGCAGCGGGTAGGTGCTGGACGGGTAGTCAGGAAGGGTTGAATTCAAATCCAGCCTCAGACATTTACTCTCTCCTTAACCCAGGACAGATGACTTAACTGCATTCTGCCCCTTTCCTCGACCCCCCAGGGTAGTTGTGAGGATTAAAGAGATAATATTGGCAAAGTGCTTGGCACAGTGCCCGGCCATGGAGCAGGCAGCATATGGATCCTGGCTCCCCTTTCCCAGGGTGGGGAGGAGGAAGGCCTGGGGCTTGCCTGAGTCCCCTCTCTGCCTGCATTCTAGGCTCCTGGGGTGTGGGGGCTTGGCCTAGCTCCTGTCCTCATCTTTCATATATGGACTCTTGGCTCATTTCCAAGTGTGGGCAGCTCTTTGGGGTCCTCCCCCCCTGGCTCTGGGGTTCTCAGGTCCCATGGCCAGCTGGGGGCCCTTGGGGCCACTCTGCTGGGTCCACTCAGGTCCTTGAAGGGCAGGCCTTCCCTTCCCTCCCCTGGCATCCCTGGCACCTCACAAGGGCCTGGCTTGCCCTGTGGATTCACTGGGGAGATGGCGGGGGGACCTGAGCCCTGGCCTCTGGGGAATAGCCTGGCTGCCTCATTTCCTGGCCCCTGCCAGAGGGCCCCTCCTCCTCCATCTCCCTTCTGTCACCTTGAGGGCCCTGGGGGAGGGGAACTTTGCAGAGACTGGGAAATAGGGTCAGCCGGGTGTCCAGTGCCCACTGTGGTCTAGCTCCCAGCCCTTACAGCATTCCCTCCCCCGGCCCCCAGCCATTTTCTTTCCTCTTCCACCTCCAGGCCTTTCCTGGAGTGGCTGGGGAGCTGGATGGAGGGACATGGGGCCACTGAAGGGCCCCTCCCCGCTGCTGGCCTGGCCAGCTTCTGGTTAGGTGACTGCCATGCTGGGAGTTCCTGGATTGCTGGGACCTGCATCACCGGCACAGCCCAGGGCTTTCTGGCCTGTTTATTCTTTGCATGCTACATGCCATCTTGAGGCTGCCCCCAACCCCTTCCATCCTCCTGAGCTAGAGGGGCTCAGGGCTCCTCCATTGATTGCTGGGAGTCAGAGACCTTAGCCCGCCTCCTGTACAAGGCCCTGTCCCTCTCTGAGCCTCAGTTTCCCTATCTGTAGATTAGGGTTCACCATTGTTGCTCTGCCTCCTCCCAGGACTGTGGGGAGGCCTAGGCCACTGCCCCGTCTCTGCCCAGAAAAGCACCAGGACAGAGCCCTACCCTCCGCCAGGTTTCCGTGGGGGTCCAGCCCTGTGCTCAGCAGGAGCTGATGGTGCTGCCGGCCAGGAGGGGGCCCAGGGAGGCTGAGGCTGGCCCTCTGCCTGCAGAGGGAGGGCCCTGTGGCCCTTAGGACCCCTCAGGACCCATAGCAGGGCTAAGGATGGAGTTGGGATTCCTGACTCCATGGACAGCCACATTAGCACCAGAAAGGACGCTGAGGTCTTCTGCTCAGTCGCCTGCCTCAGGACTTCTCTGGCCCTAAGGGGCTCCTGACGACGGCTCTTTCATGGTCTGTTGCTAGTGATGCAGATGCCTCCTGCAGCCCCCCCCCCCCCGAAGCCCTCTCTCCTGGCCTGGCCAGTCTCCTCTCTGCTCACTGCTTTCCACCTACCTCTGAGCCTCTTCTCATTCCCTTCTCACCTCCTCTCACCTCCTCCAGCCTTCCCTGATGCCTCCAGCCCACACTAGCCCATCTCTCCTCTGACCTTCCGCCCTTCGCCAGGTACCCTCTGGCCCTGCTTCAGATCCACTCCTGGCCTGTTCTGTTATACTGGCAGGCCTGTCCCTTCTCCGGGCTCTGTCCACAGCCTTGCCCTGAAGCAATGCTCTCCTGGCCATGCTGGGTCACTTCTCTCTGAGCCCCTCTTGGCCTCCAATTAGCCAATGCTTTCCTTGTCCAGCAGAAATTCCCAGGCTTCCCCTTTCTCAAGACTCAGTCTCTCTGAGGCAGGTGCCGCCGCCTGGGCTGCCCTTGACAGTTTACATGGGGGGGACACCCCAGCGGCTGGCACCAGGCCTCCCGCCCCTGGCCTTGCTCAGGGCCTCCCCTCCAGGCTGCCAGCCCTCTGGTTCATCCTCACTTGGCCTCTAGTTTCCTTCCCCCAAAGACGGTAGTACAGGTTGAGAATCCAGGCTGAGGTGCAGCCTGAGGTCCCTGGGGGGGAGGGTGATGCTGAGGGAGCTCAGGACCTCCCAGCTGGCCAGCTCTGGGGACCTGCTTGAACTGCCTCCGGCACTAGGGAGAGCATCAGACAGCCTCATGTTACCCATCTCCCTCAGTGTCTCGAATGCTCTGGGAACCTGGCCTGGCAACGTCAGTCCTCAGCTGCTCCAGGAGACTCCATCCTTGCTGCGGCAGGGGGATGAGGGGGGACTGGCAGAGAGGCAGGGAGGATCCTGGGCCCCTAGGGGCTGGCAGAGATGGTCTTCTGGGGGTTGGGAGGCCCGGAGTTTCCGGGGCGGGGGGGCTAGCCTTGACGTGACTTCTAGGGTAGTGGCTGAGTAGAGGGCCCAGGCTTGACTCCTGGATGGGGGATGGCCGAGGGCCCGGGAGTACCCCCTGGACGCCCGCTGGTTCCAGCCTTCAGCCCCTTGACTGAGAAGGGAGCCCTGAGACTGTCCAGGACAGTTCCTTCATATTGTTTTGTACGGGGTGGAGTGAGGATGCCCACAGAGCAGGAGGAGCTCAGCCCAGGTTCCTGGGCTAGTGGATAGAGGAGCCTCTGACTGTGGCTCTGGGAGGCTTGTGAGGTGCTGTCCCTCGGAAACATGTCGTGTGTGACCGGCCCCTGATTCCTGGCCCCACAGAGGGCTGGTGCCAATGAGGGAGGTGTCTATGCATACAAGCCAAGGCGCCTGGGAGGGGACCCGGGCCTGGCCTAGGGGAGGCCCCCACCCTGTCCCACCCAGCCCCATTTTGCCACTGGACGGACCCTTGGGAGAGGAAGCCCAGCCCAGGGGGGCCAGACTCATTTGAGCTGCCAGCAGGCTGCGGTCCGATTAAAGTTCTTAGGTGCCAGGCTGGGCCTCATGCTCACCCCCAGGACAGTGTTGACCTTGGCAGGGGGCTGCGTGGCCATCTCCCGGAGTTTCCTGGCATCAAACCGGGGGCGGTACAAGAAGGGCAGGAAGCTGTTGCGCCCCAGGAGCCCTCCCGGTGGTGCCCTGGCTGCTTCCTTGGTGTTCTCCGTCTGATTGCCACCTTTGGCCACAGACATGCGATAGAGGACTGCATCCCACATCCTGGTGGCGCGAGACCCCGGGGGCCGTGGGGCCGCAGGGCCGGCAGCAGGCTCCCGGGGCTCCCGGCTGGCCTGCTCTGGCTGCACCTCAGCACCCTCAGGCTCTGGGAAGGAGGGGGCTTCTGGGGCCACAATCAGTTGCTTCTTGAGTCGCGTCCAGCCGCTGAATCGGGTTCTCGGAGTGGGGGCTGGGGCTGCTTTAGGCACTTCTCCATCTGGGGCAGGGCTCAGCACGGAGGAGACCAGAGTGTCCCTTGGGGGTTCCGGGGAGGAGGCCCTGGAGGGGCTGGAAGGGCCTGGAAGTTGCTGCTTGGGGTCAGAAGCAGCAGCAACCTTGTGGGACCCAGTGCTCAGCTTGGGGGGCTCAGCTTTTGCCGAGGGTATTCTGGGGAGGGGACTGTGCTGGGATAGCCCTGGAGACCTGCAGGTCGGGGCAATGGGGACCACGATCTTAGTGACAACCTGCTTGGCAACTGCAGCCTCCACACAGGGGGACAGCCTGGGGGCTGGAGGTGGTTCTGGGCAGGGGCTTGTTGCCTGGGCATTGGGGATCAGAGGCTGGATGTGAGCCCCTGGGAGCTGGGGTGAGGGCTGATGAGCATTCTCCTCCTGCTCCTGGTCCCCAGGCCATTCCTGGGGTTCTGTCCTGGTCGTGTCCCGCTTTCCGTGCCCCCCCTTGCCCATGGCTAGGTTGACTGCAGGGGTCGGAGATTGGGGCGACAGCACCTGCCTCATGTGAACTTGTACCCGGCTGACGTGGGTCACTTCCCTCGGGGCTGAGACAGGAGCAGAGCTGCCTGGGGGCTTGGGGGTGTCTGGGCCTGGGCCTCCGAGGTAGGGGGTGGTCCTCCTGAGGTGCTCCGCCAGGCTCCTCTGCTCACTCAGATTGAAGGAGAAGGACTTCTTCTGCAGGGGAGAGGCCACGTGCTGGATAACGGGCTTGTAGGGTGAGCGGGCCGCTGGGACCAGGATCCGAGGGGGGCTGGGGAGAGCCAGGGGGCTTGGCAGGATCGGTGGGGCCAATGGGGGCGGGGCAGCGGCCCCAGGGGTCTCTGGATGAGGCTGGGGTACAGCGTCCTGGTCGTGGCTAGCCTCACTTACTGGGGACAGAGAGGCCCGGAAGGAGCTGGTCTGCAGAGTGGTCACACTGGCCTTCTTCTTAGCCGCCTTCCTGAGGAGTTTCTGAAGCCGCAAGTTGTCCTTGGACGGCTTGGGCAGGAGGGGTGGGGGCAGGGCTGGAGGATAGGGGCTTCCTGTTTCATGGAGCATCTGGACGGTGATGAGCATTTCTGTCCCCTGTGAGGAAGTAGCACTGTGAGGTCCCTGGGGAATGCCAGGCCTCTAAGCCCCCAACCTCACTGGGCCCCACACCTGGGCCTGCTTACCGTGTTGGGAGCCCACAGCCCCGGGGGATGGGAGAGGGTAGATGGTGGGGGGCTGCTGGCATTCCTGGTAATGGGACAAGGGGCAAGGATGTGAGGGGACCTGATGGTGTCTGCGTGTGCTGATAGCCACAGCACGCTGACTGTGAAGGAAGGAAAGTCGGGATGATGGCATCTGACCACTGAGCTGTGGAGGGCTTGGACACTGAGGGGAGGCCGAGGATTAGGAGCCCAAGATGAGGGCAGGATGGGAGCATACGGTCACAGAGGAGTACGGGATTCCAGACAGTCATGGGCGAGGGCTGGGGGTTGAGGAGGTGGGTGGCCAAGCAGTGATGGAGGGGACCTCAGTGTGTACGTAGAAGTCCCCCAGGACAAGGGCCTGGATGGGTGCAGAGAAAGGCTGAGTCTAGCAATGGCCAAAGGCCCCAGGACCTGGAGAGGGGGCCTTGAGGAGCAAGGTGCCCTGGCCTGGGGCTTGCAGGGCCTGTCGGGGCAGAAGCAGGAAGGCTGGGGTGCTGGGGACCCCAGTGGATGCCTGGGAAGCCTCAGCCCCACCATCTGGGGCTCCCCTTGGCAAGGTCAGCCTCCCATGCCTCCTTCACCTAATCTAAATTCTCCCTCCCCTCCTGGGTGTTTCTAGATGACTCAAGGGGAACAGCTCAGATCGACCATTTCTGTAGCCCTGCCAGCACCGGGCAATGAAGGTGCCTGGCCTCCAAGAGCTTTTCTTGGGTGGGGAGGGGCAGTGACAGCCGGACCTGGGCCACAGAGGAAGCCTTGGCCCAGTTGGGTACTCCCAGCTCTAGGGCCCTGGTCACATGCGCCAGCCTCCAAGGACCCCAGCCCGTGGTCCTGCTGTGGAAGGGCCAGCAGGCCGTGCTCAAAGTGAGCACCTGGTGCCATCACTTCACATGCCCAGGCAGTTTTCTCTGGGTGGGGTCTGATCTGATTAGGCCCCTGGGTGCCCAGAGAATCAGTGCTGGGCCTCTTCGGTGCCCTACCCTCTGAGTAAGGTCTGGCAGCAATCTCATCCAGGACATTCCCAAATTTTAGGCAGGTGACCTCAGTCTTCTTCTGGCGCCACTGACAGGCTGTCTGGGCCTCAATTTTCCCATTGGTGCAATGGGGTTAATAATAACCACACTCCCCCTCCACGTGGGGCTGTGAGGATTCAGAGTGAGGGGAGAAGCCTCGGTAGGAGGTCACACCTGAGACGGACCATCCATTCACTCCTTAATTCTGGAGAGACGCACTGAATGTGGACTGTTTAGAGGGGCCAGGTGGGGCATCCCCTGCCCTCTGCCCAGAACATCCCTGGCTTGTCAGGCCTCCAAGGGCTAAGAGAGTCATGGGGACCCCTCCCCTCTCCTCTTCTGTCTTTCAGCTGAACCTCAGACCCCAGATGCCTTCATCCTGGACAGATGCTGCTTCTACACTGAAGAAGGGGAGCCCCCCCAGTCCCCTTGCCTGTGGCTCTTCTGCTATAAAATGTCCCGGGGCCCTCCTGGGGCCCCTCCCCCAGCTCTTCCCCACGGATCTCTTCCCCACCCTATTTTTTAAATCCATTTTTTACTTGACTGTGGTGTCTCTGTCCCTGTCACTCTCCCTGCTCCTCCCTCTGGCACCTCTGATTCTGTCTTGTGGCTGGGAAGGGGGCTGAGTGGCAGAGGGCCAGGTCTAAAGTCCTGGACTGCCTTCCTGCCTCTTAGGGGGGTTCTCCTCCCCACTGAAAGGCCAAGGCAGCCATGGTGTGCCCTCCACGTGCTCAGAAAGTGCCCGTGGGCTCAGCAGCCTCTCTGGCCAACCCAGACAAGGCCCTAGGTTTGAGTATAATGAGGGCTCCCTTCCCTGCTTCCTGCTTGCCCCTCCCTGTCCTGAGTCCTGGATCTCTGGGTATTTTTTAAGTGCTTAATAAAGGACCAGATCTGGGCAGTTATGACTGGGCTGGCCCTGGGGGAGTTCTTGATCCCACTGTGGCCCCGTGGTTGACAGAGGCTTCTGCTGTGCTAGCGGGTCACCTGGGGCAAGGTGAATGAGTTCCTGATGCCACTGTCAACCAACTTTAAATTCTGGGCAGGGTTGGTTACTGTATAGTGACTGCAAAAATGTTAACAGATTAGTCTCAGCCCAGGGAGACTGAGAAGCCAGTGTGCTCCCCCAAATGCTGTGGCATGCACCTCCACACACCGTGGCACATACCCCCAAATACTGGGGCATATTCTCCTACACACCGTGGCACATGTCCCCAAACATCGTGGCATGTGCCCCCAGGCCTAGGGAGATGGACAAATGAGTCTGTGCTGGTTTCTTGTCCACCACGGCCCCCACCTCAGTCAGGAGGCAACAGAGCTGGAAGGGACATGGACCCCTGAGGTGTGGGCCCACTGCCTCTTAGCAGTCTCCCGAACGCTAGCCCTGGTGAGAAGCCCTGACCCTTTGATGGTTCTGTCTGGGGTCAGCGTCTGATGGGCCTCTCTGCGGGAGGACGGCTGAGCAGAACCTAGATGAAACACAGACTGGTCTCTCCCTCTCCCGGGGCCTCAAGTTCCTTCTCTGCCACGAGGAGACCTCTCAGGTCCTTCCCAGCACTAGAGCTCAGCCCCGTGACAGTCCTTCCTGGGAATGGGAAGAGGGGTTACCTGGGGTCATCCTGGCCGTCTTGGATGTGGGGAGGTGGACAGAGTGTTGGACTTAGGAGCAGGGGGCCTGACTTCAGTTTGACCTCTGACACTGACTAGCCGGTCATATTGCTGGTCAGACTTTTCAGCCTCAGTTTCCTTGTCAAGTGAGGATAATTGTAGCATCTACTTCACAGGGTTGTGAGGAGCAAATGGGATATTTGGAAAGTGTCTTTGTAACCCCGGAGGAACAGATAAGTATTGCTAGTGCTGTTAGATGGGTCAAAGACCCAAGAGGAGGGGAAGGGGCCTGGATCCACCCAGAGAAGCAAGCACCAGGCTAGGCCACGCCTTGGTGATGGAAGGGCCGCTGCCCCTCCCCCTCCTCTGGGCATCCCAGGTCAGGGCTGGGCTGGCAGTGCCCCAGGGCAGAGAGGAGGCAGAGGATCCTGGCAGAGCCAGGCCTTGAGCTGAGTCAGCTCTCCGAACTTAGGCCTCTTCCCCCGGCCCCAGGTCAGCTCTACTATAAGGGCCTCTGAGGCCCCGGGGGACCCGGGGCAAGCTTCAGGGGCACAGGGAAAGGATGGAGGGATGAGGGACCCACCCCTCCACAAGCAAGAGTCAGCCTCTGGAAGGAACAAGTGCCCGCTAGGCCCCATGCCAAGCCTGGCTCCCAACGAGGACCTGGACAAGGGGCTCTTCCTGGAAGCCGCTCTCCCGCCCCCTGCTCTTGCCTGCCCTCTCTGCCTCTGGCTCATTGGGAAGCCTGGCTGGGCACTCTGGCCAAGACTGAGCTCTCTCCCGACCCCATGACCCCAGGGACCCAGGTTAATTGTCTCCAACTGAGTGTGAGCTCCTTATCCTCCCCACCCACTCCACAAGGCAGGACCCCCTTCCTCCTCTAAGCATCAGAGAAGGAAGCAGCCCTCTGAACTTCCCAGCCAGCCACCTCGGGCCCAGCCCACGTCCCCCAGTTACCAAAGCCTAACGGCACAGCTCTGGTCACCTGGCTGGGCGGCTGTGATCGAGGACCACGTCCGGTCCCTCCCGGCTCTGTCCTTCCCTGCTCACTCTCCCCGAGTGCCCACAGCTGAGGTTGTCGGTGCCCAAAATAAAACTGCCCCCCATCCCTTCTGACCTCAGCGCTGGCTGGCTTCTGCTCAGTGCCTTCCCAGGGCCCTGGGCTAGGTTTCACTGGACCAGCCTGAGTGGAGAGCTAGCCTCCTCTGCTGGCCAGCAGGGGCCACTGCTGATGCTCAGCTCCCCAGAGCCCAAACAGGCCCCTCTGTGCCCTAAAGAGCAGGCCTGGGAATGCCAGAGGGCTGGGGTGGGGCTGGCCTTCTGCAGACTCAGACCATGCACACTGGGGGTTATCTAAGGCATCTCCTCTGTTCAGACCAGAGGATCTTCCTAAAATGGGGTCTCCAGACTTGGGAGCCCTCGCCCAGCGGGAAGGGGCTGGGCACAGGGAGGCCAGTACTCAGCACACCTTAGTGCCCTGGAGAAGGGGACAGGTTCTCGTTTGTAGATTTTGCAGATATCTGGACATAATCTTCCCTGCCTCCACCAAGGGCCCCGGTCCTGACTGAGAGCTGGCTGTGTTCATTAGAAGGGTCTGGAGGCAGGAGCCTCGGGAAGGCTGCACAGCCACAAAAAGTTGCCTGATGCCAGGATGAAGTGCTTAGCCCTTAGAGCTGCCTGAGCAGCCCGCGACTTCCTGGGGAGGGGGTGAGCCTCCCGAGCACAGGGCTTCAGGCCTGGAGGCCTAAGTTGTTCTGCTTCTTCCTGGGGACTCTGGCCTGCTGTTCTGTCCTGCCCTTCCTTTGGGGCCTTCCCTTGCCTTCCCAACTTGGTTCCAGCCACGTCTTGGGTCAAAGTATAGATGACTGTTAAGCAGCTCCTAAGCAGGAGCTAAGGCAGCTAGGTGGTGCAGTGGAGAGAGTGCCGGGCCCTGGAGTCAGGAGGACCCAAATTCAAGTCTAGCCTGAGACACTTCCTGGCTGTGTGACCCTGGACAAGTCACTTCACCCTGTTTGCCTCAGTTTCCTCATCTGTAAAATGAGATGGAGAAGGAAGTGGCAAAGCCCTCCAGTATCTCTGCCAAGAAAGGCCCAAACGGGGTCATAGAGAGTCGGATGTGGATGAGATGACTCCGCAGCAAGCCTCAGCCTCTGGGGCAGGGTGAGGGAAGCACCCTGTGGTGCCAGAGCAGGCGCCTCAGGCCCAGCTCTGCATCCCCTGCCCCTTGCTGGGACACTGATGGTCTCCACACGGCCCTCCCCCTTCCTGCTCCTCCACACACGCCTGGGTGCCCACCAAGGCTCCCTGATAGCTCTCTTCTGCACTCAGTGAGCCTCCTTATGGAGATGACTCCAGTCTAAGGAGCAGGCTTTTTTTCCAAGTCCATCAACTAGCCGGTGCCCAGCCCACGTCAGAGCCTGCCTGAACCCACAAGAGACGTCGCCGGGTCTGATGTCCCCCCAAGCCTTCTCCTGCCCCCTGCCTCGCAGACTCCTCTGCCCGGACATCCGGGGGGTGCCACTGGCCCAGCATGCCCTGCTTCTGTCGAGGACCGCTTTTCCTCCCAGTCACCCGGCTCCCAACTTTCTTGACCCACCTCCTATCCTCCTTTCTCCCCTGCCCACCACCTCGCCTGGGCTGCAGCCAGAGGCTCCCCACAGCTTTCCTGCCTCTGGCTTCTTCCCTCTCGGATCTGTCCTGCACACCACTGCCCAATTAGTATTCTGGAGGCACCGGCGTGAGCATGCGACCCCTGCCCAAGCAGCATCAGGGGCCCCCACTGCTGCTGGGATGAGACGAACCCGTCGCCTGGCATTGGAAGCCTTGCCCACGGGCTGCACGTAGAGGCCTCGGTCCTCTCCACCTGGGCGTAGCCCTGCAGGCTGCCTGGCCTGCACAGCGCTCTTGTCCTCCCTCCTCACACCCACATCTCAGAGTCTGTGGCCTTTGGTGGCCTTGGTGCAGGAACCCCCAGGTCCCCCCAGTTGTGAGCTCCCTTCCTCAGGCTACCTTGTGAGGGGGCCGTGGAGACCCTCTCTGGGCCTCAGTTTCCCCATCTGTAGAGTGAGGGGGTCAGACTAGCTGGTCCCTATCCGGAATGCTGTTCCTCCTCACTCCTGCCCTTTGGAAATCCAGGCTTCCTCCAGGACTCCACTCAAACAGAGATGCCCCACGTGGTAGCGCCTTGATTTTCGACATCGCCTCGTGTCCATACGTATGCACCTTGTATGTGTGTGCATGCATACATACATGCAGAGAGAGGGGGGGGGAGAGAGGAGGAGGGAAGAGAGAAAGAGAAAGAAGAAAGACAGAGGCAGAGAGGGCTTGTTGGTACGCAGCTGGCCTGTCCTCCCCCATCAGACGAGGAGCTTCTTGAAGGCAGGGACTCATTTTTGTCTTTCTTTGCATCCTCAGCACAGTGCCTGGCACGTAGTAGGTGCTTCATAAATGCTTTTTATTGACTCATTCACGAGACCACTGATAGAATTCTGTTCATCAGCCTATTATTTGTGTCTGTCGAGGCATGAAGCAGAGACGTTGTCTGCGCCAAAGGGGACTGCATCCACCCTGGAGGATGTGCAGTCTAGAGTTCGAATGAGAGTGATTTGACTCTGAGCCTGCTCCTCGACACTCCTGGACGTCCTGGAGCAGTACAGGGCTCTTCAGTGTCAGTGACAGAGGCTCAGCCCCATCCTCCACACGGGGAAAGCCAAGTGGAGGAAGAAGGCCTCCGGGCCAGGCCATGGCATGCGTCTGGAGTCGGCCCATTTGTTCTTCGGCCCGTCAGCTCATGGATCTGGCACAGACTCGGTCCATAGATCTGGGGCAGGCTGTGTCTATGGACAAGGGTGACTGGGTCATCTTTGGGAGATGGTGCTGGCAGAGCTGACCTGGCACAAAACCTCATCGTTTTAGCACCAGTGTTCCCAACGTGCTGCTGGAGGCCTGTGGATCTCAGAAGAGGACCACCCCACCTCCAGGAAGTCACCACGGCCCATGACCTAAAGAGCAATGAGGAGCACAGAGGCGGGGACTCAGCCCCCATGCCTTTCCAATGATGAGCGGCACGCAGAGTGTCCTGAGGGATGTCCTCTGGGAGTGAGGGGTAGAAAAGGACATGGGCCAGCCCCAGGAGACGTGAAGGGTGAGAGGCGGCTGAGGGGCAGGTTGAAGGCTGCTCCAAACCCAACAAAGTGACATTTCCCAGGCATAGACATCAAGGCTTATACTTGGGTTCAAAAAGTCACCTCCTAAGGACAAGCCGGGAGGGACCTAGCTAGACAGCAGCGTGTGAGGG